GCTTGCTTTGTGTTTCGTCGTGTGAGTGAGGTTACCTGAGGCCCAATTACCCTCCCCTTCCCCAATCTCCCCAATCACCCCAATCTCCCCAATCCTTGAATCCCCAACGATCCTCAAACTCCTAATCCCCAAAAAGCCGGTAACGCACTTGTATCGCCTCTGGTGTTCCAGGTGTCTATGGGTGACGCCGATTGCTTACCATCGGGTGATCCGTCTGCTCGTTTTCCGATTCATGCGACAAAAAACATTGTGATAAATGGGCGGAATGGTTGAGAATGAGAACTCATAGTAAAATAAAAAGGGGAGGAAAAAGAAGCTAATTCCCTTTTTCCTCCATCCCCCCCTTCTCAGAGGACAAATCAATGAAATATCGTAATTTATTAAACAGAGCCTTCGTACCTAGACTAAAATCGCAAATATCCTAAAAACTAGAGGTCCTGGCTAAAAAATAGCTAAATTTTCGTACCCGTCTAGGTGCCCTTAATACATATTTTATCATTGTATGTACAAGGTGAGAACAACCTTGGGTCAAGTGGGCCCACTCTAAAATTTCTAAACCACCAACATTGAAACGATCGTGTTCGGCAGTGATCAATGAAAAACAGAGATGAACCAGCGGTCTAATGTGTGCAGGTACTTATTTGATGACTGATGGATAGGGTTATGGTGACCTTGGGTAAGGTGGGCCCAATTAGGAAACATTCAAACCTTGCAATTTTTACAGGGCAGATTTTTTAGGGGGGAAAAATCATCGAATGACTGCTCTCGCCTGGGTGAGGTGGAAGGGAGTGTCAGACTCTTACTGACTAAAAACCACCCCGTTCTTTCTTCTGCACGTCGAACCGGAGCCTCGATAACCCGTTAGGTTCTCCGCGACATTTTTACAGTATGGATGCCGATTAATGAAAAGCTTTTTTTTTAAGAGGGGAAAATCATTGAATGACTGCTCCCGCCTGGGTGAGGTGGAAGGGAGTTTCAGACTCTTACTGACTAAAAACCACCCCGTTCCTTCTCCTGCACATCGAGCCGGAGCCCCGGTAACCCGTTAGGTTCTCCGCGACATCAATGATACCGCTTATACCACGGGGAGTGCTCTGAGGAATTGTTTGACCTGATACCTGCCGCATCTTTTCGCCATCGACCCTCACGACAGCATATGCATGCCCATCATATAGATGGTTGGCAGGCCACAACTGTGCGGTTCTCACGTAGCTTCCTGCCTCGCACAGCAAAACTGTGGAATGATCTGTCGTCGGCGGTATTTCCGAACCGATACGACCTTCAAACCTTCAAGAGAAGAGCGTACTCCTTTTTAAAGGGCCGGCAACGCACCTGTGACTCTTCTGGTGTTGCGGGTGTCCATGGGCGGCGCTGATCGCTTACCATCAGGTGATCCGTCTGCCCGTTTGCCTCCTATTCCAAAAAAAAAAAAAAAATGAAAAGCTTAAGGTTGAGGTCGAAATAAAAAAAGTATATTAGGTATTTAGGTACTTATTTATTTATAATTCTTGGAAGACTTACAGCTTATAAAAAATAGATAAAATAAAAATAGGTGTAGGTGTCAATAATGAATAACATAGCATAACATCACGCTATTTATCCCTAAAGGGGATATCCATGTAAATGCTACTGTAGGTACAAAGTAACACCTGCTTTTCACTATTTATGTTATAAGTTCCATGTAATAGGGGGTAAGCCTATTGCCATATACCGGGCACAATTCCAATCTCCGTGCTACTACTGAGATTTTCTTTAAAACCCTAGTAATACATTGCCTGACCCGGGAATCGAACCCGAGATCCCTTGCCCGGCACTTGCGACCACTCGGCCAACGACGCAGTATCAATAATGAAGTAAAAGCTTAAATTACAATAGAGGCGTAGGTAAGTCAAGTCTAGACTTGTGGCTAGATGTAAGTAATCATCATTTTAGCGGCGGCGCGGCGGTAGGTCTAGATCCTTGTAAACTAGACAAAATGGATACCTACAAGTGCAAACTACCATTTTTTAATTCTCTTATAATATCTTCTGATTCACTTCGTTGCGGGAACCAAGGCAGTTATTCATGTCCCTGGGACGCGCCGGACTTCAGTGTTGCGGTGTTTTCATGGTTGTATCTACTGTAGATCATGGCTTAAAAGAGTTGCAGCGGTTTTAGGAGGGTGTGGCGAGCGAGTCCCATTAAAAAAAAACCTACAAGTGCAGGGCTTGTATGCGTGATACAGTTTCAGCAGTTTGTATAAAAAATGCGACTTGTGGTGTTTTAAACTTGACCTGAATTTACGTCCAAAGTAAATTGGTTTATTGTGATTATGTTGGTCAGTCTGACTAACTAGCCTAGCCTAATACGCAGGAGATATTATAGTACATAAGTGTGTGTGCATACACAATTGCACTCCGTTCCTTCACTTTCTAAATCTAATTTGATGGCAGATCTACACGACCGGTGAACTGGCGCAGGATCAACGGTATTGTGATTCCTGAGACATGAGGTAACTTCCTAACTCAAAGCTGACAGCTGTGTTCATTTAATAAAAAAAAACATTAGCACTTTTGGCCCGACATAGGAATCGAACCCGCGACACGATGTACACGAGTTCTACCTCTACGCCGCCATAAAATGGGATACGGAACCCCGGCGGACTTAGCGGGTTGCCGGAGCTCCAGCTCGAAGGGCAAACGAGCAGAAACGAAGCGGTGATGATGTTCCCTCCTCAAAAAAAATGCATGCATTGCCAATTCTCGTTCCTTCTCATTTCCCTTCTTTTGGTGAATAGTAGGTACAAGTGTCATTACTTCGTTTAATTAAATGACAAAATAGGCCTATTATTAAAGGGGGAAAATCATCGAATGACAGACTCTTACTGACTACAAACCACCCCGTTCCTTCTCCTGCACGTCGAACCGGAGCCCTGGTAACCCGTTAGGTTCTCCGCGACTCAGAATCGGCATCAGCCCTGTTATGCCCCTCCGTGGTGGTCTGATGGCTCTTTGAGGCACGCGCGGAACGCGACGCGCCGTACGCTCGACAAAATAGGCTTAGGTCCCAGCCGTTTTAACACTCACGGCTGTTCGTGTACGGGGTCCGTAGTCAATCTTCAAGGACCTCTGATCTCAAAAATATTAAAAAACAAATTGTGTAAGGTGTAGTGGGAAACCATTTGGTCGTGCGTTACGCGGTTAATCCGACGCAGCCTTCAGATGAATCTAGGTTCTTATCTAGGTACTAAGTTAGGTATTACCGGCTATGTGTAATTTTTTAGTCTAATTTTGAATTTTTCTTAAGATTTAGGATAGGTATTACCATAGGAATGTACTAAAGTTGATTTATTTTAAATAAAAGCCCCTTTTATTCGACTTAGGTCTTAAACTTTGGTCTAGATAACCTAAGTCCATTTTATTCCTTTTAAAAATGTGTCACAACAAGTATATTTTATTTAAATAATTAGTTATAATTTATACAAAACGATAGGCGCTGAAATATAGAAGTCGATTGACAAATTGTTATTTAAAAATAAATTAAATTAGATAAGTTATAAAATTCCAAAGTTTTCGTCAATCTTTCTCAATGAAACTACAGAACGACACAATAAAAAATAGGTCTGTCAATATAAACATAACACAACAATGTCAAATCGATCTCTTTTTGATAAATGTAAGAGCATTAAATGAAACAGATGTGTCTCACTTATAATGGAACCGAGGTATTGTACCAACCTAGACTTTGTCATTCTTTGTTGATTTGTCTCATTAGTTGAACAGTGGTCAAAACTGCGACCTCAGAACGTGATATACGGATACGGACAGTATCTTCTACATTTTCGGTGATCTAACTAAACTTGGTTAGAACTCTCTAAGCAACCTATTCGATAGCCATCATCCGCACTTGTAAGGGACACCGGGTGCGCCTAATTGTAGGAAGACCCGGGCTTCGGGGCGGCTATAAACAAAGTCAAAGCATTTATTTAAATTAATCCTTATTAGGCTTTTATACGTCAAATTTCAATTGTCCATCTGTCTGTTTGTCAGTGACGATAGGCGCTCATTTTAAAGCATAGTTTCGAATGGAGAAGAACGAACCAGAAACTCTGACCACAATGCAATGCCTGTTCGGGCATATCCCTACGTCTCCCTTGAATTTGTAATCGACGACAGCACGTGACCACTGTGCCACCGCCTTCGCTGAGGTCACTGGGTGACCGCTCACTAAACGCCTGCAATCCCGAGTCCACCGAGCTGCTAAAAATGGATGGAAATTACGGCTAACTCTTCCTTAGAAGGAAGGTTCATCTCGAAGTCATTGGGGGTTCTTATTTTCAGCTGTGGAAATTTTGTAGACGATTTGATGTAATAATAATGAAATACCATGTTAGATTCAATCAATCTATCAATATATTCTGTCAATCTACACAAGTACATAGTAAGCTAAGCCAGTGAAAATTTTCGTTGATGAAATCTATCGATTACATACGAGCTGTTACCCAACATTACAAAAATGTTTAAAAATCAAATAAAATACCATATAACAGGGTTTCATGGTATTTTCCAGTTCACATGGATATGCACGCTGAACATTGGTCTATTGTACAATATTTATTTGGAATGTTATTTGGTAAATCAATTTGGAATACTTAATTAAGCAATACTTTGAGAAATTACGCCTTTTGTAGGTCAGAAATTGAACGATTATGACCTTTATTGTTTTTATTTGAATACGTGGCCTCGATCTAGGATTTCTCTGTCATGGGTGCGTTTACAAATTCAGATACAAAATAATTTATTGCAAACATACAAATAGTTATTCAATATTTGTGTAGCAGCCAGTTGCCCTGCCATGCATTCGAACAACCGTGTACTTTTAGCATATCAGTCGGTATAGTCACATTTTGTATATTCTGATTATGTGTAGCCCTTCATTAGGAGTGGCTCCTGTGTTGTGGGTGCGTTTACAAACATTCTGTATCGCCTTTCAGTTTTGTTTCATAATTTTTTATGTACCTATTAATAATGATTTCAAAACTTTTACGGTACAATTGATAAATAAAGTTTATTTATTTGTAGTTATAGGTACATAAATGTCACTATTTTAGGATAAAATACAGAAATAGCATACAAGGTGAGCTAAATAACAACTATGGAGTACGTACGAATATTATTCATTCTTAATTTAAATTAGAGGTAGATAAGTGTTCCTACATCAATATCAGATTTGTCTTTCAATATTTATTTGTGTAGAACGAAGCTTTTGTGTATGTAAATATTTTATTTATTTTCTTTGGGCAGAGTAATTTTTTCACAATCCCTAAACTTCTCGTGGGTAAGCAAGAGCCGACCAAGGGACTATACATTTAACAGATACTGAGTAGTACCGATATCGGAACGTTTAACTGCTATCTTTATAGGATGCCTGCCGTGCGATGAAGAGGAGGCTCATTCTCCAGAACGTGGACGTCTTTTTGTAAGGGGGAAAATCATCGAATGACTTCTTACGCCCGGGTGATGCGAGAGGGAGTGTCAGACTCTTACTGACTAAAAACCACTCCGTTCCTGCTCCTGCACTTCGAGCCGGAGCCCCGGTAACCTTTTACGTTCTCGGCGGCTCCGTGTCGGTATCAGCCCAATTGGGCCCCATGCCAGAAGCGGACATTTAGGAGCCATTATTAATGTGATATGTGTGGCAATAGGTTTGGTTTATATCATCCTTTATTGTATTATGGGATGACAGGATTAATAAAATAAGTAGCGGAAAGTTTTGTTATTACATCTTTGCCTATGAGGAAAAAGATGTGATGATGTTATTTAAAAGCTAAAATAACTGTTAGATATAACTCTTCGGTTAAACAACTGGGTATTTATGTGGTATTTTATGTATCCTTTCCTGCTACGGGATCCGAGCAAAAGGAGTTGAGAACTGGTTAGTGAAAATCAGAGGCTGTCAAACTAAGGATCGTATCGCACAAACATTAAGGTTACGGCATGCTTTGGACTAGCTGTACGAGATCAAATACCCCCACCCATAGTTGGAGTTGCTATGAGCCTCGCGCTTGATTAATCCATTACTAGTTATCTCTTCCTACATTTTTCAACAATGTGATGTAAGGCAGAGATTTGTAATCGTAAACTATTAATTCTTACTCAGACAAAATCTACGCTCGAGAACAAACAAACGGCAAACACTTGATTTCTTCACTCGATTCTATTATTTTGGTTCTTTGACAATATTTGTATTCTACTAAGTAAGTTATAATCGCATGCCATGATTAGGACAGCGCGTGTTTTTTTTATTTAATACAATTTTTACAATTATTCTAAACATTAGCTTAGATAGCATTACAATAGCGTTACAGGTTTGTGACAGACAATAGGTAGACCGATATCAGTAGTAAGTTACATCAGTTACACTTCTACATATGGGTATAAAGAGACATAATTATAAGTACTATTCTCCCAGTTGTATTTCTTCTTTCTTTCTTGCGCGGGCTCTCGATCTCGATGAAATAGGAACAAAATCAGCTTTCACAATGATCTCAGAATTTAGAACAATCTGTCAAATCATTATGAAAACCAGTTTCGTAATTCCTTTTATTCTTTCTTCGTGCTCTTCACGCCTCTATGTTCAGTCCTCGCTGCGGCTGTTTGCGGGAACATAATCTATAGGAAAACGCCAGAATAATGTTAGTTGTTACTAAGTGTTACTTACCTAACACGTGAATTCGGTCAGGAGAGGAAAACCGCACTCGCTTGGCAACGTATTCATTTGCCGTTTCATTTGATAGACTTTAATTACATTGGAATCGCAAGAATTCAATGTTTAACACAACAGTTAACGGCAATGGAAGAATATGAATGGATTTGTCATCGCTCGATTGGGTGAAGTATGCGGCGGGAATGGGATGTGACGTGGTCGGCGGGACGCTCCCATTAGCCGCATCACCGCCTGCTATGACATCATGCTGAGTCAGGCGCACACCACACTACAATGCTCCTTTCCTCCGCTAATTGACATCCATCTGTAACACATAAAACCATTCTTTAGTACAATCCGAATTGCGAACTGGCCGACCGCGAGTAGGAGTCGCTGCGGCAGTCCTTTGACAAATGTATTAGAGCTCATTATTATGTTCATATAATAGAAGTGAATTGACTAAAATAGTAATAAACGAAGGCGGCAGGGTCCGTGGTAAGCAATGCGGGCTCACCCACACCGCACGCCGGCTAATTAGGCGACGCGGTGTGAGTGCGCTGCTGCTGCCTCAAATGGTGCGGATAGCGGCTTCGGCCTTTTTCGGCCTTGTTCGGCTGTGCGCGGGAGTCGGCGCCACTACAATTATTTCGCCAATTTATTGACACCGATGGTAGTACCACACATGTACCACCTACGATGGCTTCAAACCTGAATGCATTCATTGCCGGACGAATGACGAAATAATTCGATCAGTACAAAAGACAGTCAGGTACCAACTGTCCGTTGCTATAGCCACCTGTGAACGTGGGATTGTGTCAGATCTACCCAAGTTACCATCGTGGAACGCGGTCCACGTGTTTCACGATGGTCGACTTTAATGTTTCATGCAATATGATCCACGAAAGGTGATATCTAGTTAAAGCGGTTCCCAGTGAAGGTTACTTGGTCAGATTTAGAGAGCGACGAGTGATGGGAAGTGTGTTGGTGGTGATGGTGGGCAGTGGTGCTGTGTGGGGGCGCAGGTGCGCTGGTGCTGCTGACGTCACGTCCGGCGCGGCGGCGGTGGCGCGGGAGCTCCTCAATGGGCGCGCACTATGTGGGCCACACGTGTCACCTCATCCCTCCCCGACACACGTGTGTCCCCTCGCCTCACACACACTAACGCTGCTCTAATTGCTGACAACTATGGGAAATAGCGCAAATGTGTTAGTTTTTATCGCGAAGCATGTTTACACTCTTGATAATGACGAATGTGTCGTCTTTAGATACATATTTTTATCGTCGGCGTGGACCCTGTTTCAGCAGATTCTTATATAGCTCAAGGAGACAGGTATCAAAGACAATAAAATAAATAAATACGACTACTAAGAACAGTAAAACTCGACAAGTGTTACGAGCGAAGTGCCCCAATAAGAATGTGTGGCGAGCGGAAGTGTATAACGTTTTTGACAGAATTGGATCGTGTGAATAATAAACATCAGGTCCGCGGCATAACACTGTCGTATCGAATGCTTCGGTGTGGGACGATGAGAATCGTAGTTACGTCAGAGAGCGGCGAGCGGAGAGCGGCGAGCGCACGAGAGGCGCGGGTGTCGTCCGACACTGCGACGTCGCAGACGAGGAACAATGGACTTAAAAATGGAATTTAGCGCATGAGGTGACGAAACGTGGTCCCGGCTGCGGCGCGGACGTCGCGACAAGTATGTAGGGCGGGTGACGCGCCGACTATTGATAGTGCGCCGCCGACGCCGATGCCGACGTCGCAACAACTACCATTATTCTCTTTACAATTCTGTGCTCTAGAATGCAGCGCATTGCCGCGCGGAGCCTGCAAGCGGATCTATAGTCGTTCTATTTACAACCGGACTGTACAAACGCCGACGTGCCTTATATGTCGTGCCGTTTATCACGCTTATTAGGCATACGTTTAATATTATATTATGTGCCTATCTACGCATACTGATACAACTCTTGTAAAGAGGTAGCAACGTGTGTGCCACGACGCGTAGACTTAGCTCGTAGACAACTTGTAGAGGGGTCTTCGCAATTGTAGGTATGTCAAGACTTGTAATTTGTAACCGATATATTTTTATTTCCTAATCGGTTTTACAAGGTACAGTTAATGATATGTGACGACCAGATATTTATTTTCTATAAGCTTTTTGCAATAAATGTGGTCACAGACACACATTATGGGGCCATAATGTTATTAAAATTAAATACAATCAGGTTAAATAAATGCATGTATCCACTAATCATCTTTACAGTAATACTATCTAACAACAGTATAAACTGCTGGGCAGCCGCATCTATTGAGACCAAAAGCCGGTCTTACGGTGACGATAAGGTAAAGAGGCTGATGAGTTATGATTGGCTACAATGTTGGGTATAGAGATAGAGCGGCATTCCGCGGCTGTAACGGTGAGTTATTTGGCGGGTGGCGGGCGTAGTGCGCGGCGTGAATGGCCGCGAGATGCAGCCTCCGCTGCAGCGCCGCAGGCTGCGCCGCGCGCCCCCGGCCCGCGTCCCCGCCGCCGCGTGCGCATTCCGCCGAGCGTCGAGCACCGCGAAGCTAGTCGCTTGCGCAACCTCCGTCGCCGCATTCCATTCATAGCGACGCGCGACTTGATAAACACAGCTTATGACCGCTGCGGCTCGCTCGCGGTCCGTTGCGTCCGCGCTGCGGTCGAGGAGGCCCTCGCCTTCCCGGAATGGGAAAACGAGCGCGGTTTTTGAAATTTTAGAGCGTTACGCCACATTTGTTCGTGAACGTCACGGCGGCGGCGGTCGGCCGGTGTGAATTCCGCCGGACGTTGACCCATACCGCCACTGCTTTCTCCGACTCAGTGTTTGCTATTGGAACGAATCTATTAATTGGAGAAACTCAGTTCACACATGAGCGTGGAAAGTAGACCGATGAGCTTTAACTATCCGAGTCGCAAAGAGCTAAAACGTCACGCAAGCGCCCTTTATGAACAGTAATCACACACATGGGAGTTGGGCACGGGCTCAACCAGCGCAATATTGTGCGCCACACGTATGTACTCACTATCGGCTGTCGTTTGCTCATCAAAACAGCACCTTTATGGTTCGCTTGAGCTGCAATAAAGTTAATAGCTTGCACTTGGCCGCGTGATTTCCCATCTGTGTGATAGTAGTGCACACTTCAGAGTCAACGTGTCTAAGCTCAAGTGTAGTGCGAGGTTCGCGTGGTAATGTGTGTGGCGGGGGATGCGCGTGCGGCGGTGTTCCGCCGAGCGAGGCGTGCGGCCGAATGCCGGAGGCTGCATTCCTCTCCCCGCCGCCCGCAGGTGAAATGTCACCAAACAGCATTCCGAAATATTTGAAACGACCTTTATGGCGCGAAAGAAAGTGTGTGGGGCGCGGGGCGCGGGGCCGCGCGACCGTGGGACAGCGGCGCGCGCGCCAGTCGCACGCCCCCCACCCCCGCGCGCCGCGCCCCCGCCGCCCCGCGCCGCCTCCCGCATTCCAGCGCGCCTCCCTCCCAATTTATTCAGCCGCGACCCGACACACCAGCATCACCACACTCACCACACCTGGACACCACCGACTACCCTCCATCGCACCCTCTACCATATCTATTTTTGTAATCTTTTTTTTTGCATTACTAATCGTACTTACTTAATTGACCGTTGACTCACTGTGAATTAGGTATAAAACGAGTAGTCTCGAGATTCACAAATATAAAATCATTGATAAACAGCTATAGGTACTTAATTATATTATCTATCTGATAAAATATCTATTTTTGATTGGTGGTGAGGGAGTTATCAAGGATTCTAACAAAAGACTTCAACGCACATCAAGGTTTTAAGAAATGGGTTAGGGTAATTTCGTGGTCGTTAGATTATATTTTGCAAACTGCTTATATCAGTGTGTGAATTGAACTTTATGACATTAAAAGAGGAGATAAGTATTAAGATAAAACCGGAAACGCACGAAATCCTGATAACAGGATATTAAATAGAATGCCAGTGGCAGTGATATTTAAAAGTGATGGTCGTTTCGAGGGTGCTACGCCAGTGTAGGTGAGTTTGGAGAAGCTGGAGAGCGTGGATGGTTGTAGATGTGGACGAGCGTGTTGGTGCGTGGGGGCGAGTGGCTGGCGGCGGCGGCGGCGGAGGCCGGTGTCGCAAATAGCCCGTGACGCGGCGGGCGCTGCACTTTCGCGCGGTCATGTGCCCGGCGCCGAAGCCAGACGCTCGTAATCGCTCCTCTATTTAAAAACGTCGTCGGACGCCGCGCGGCGGGGAATGTGCGGCGACAATGCACGGCGTCAACGACCGCTCGCAACGGAAGCGACACACTTCCAGCCCGGAAATGTGCGCCCGCGCCTTAAGGGACTGCCGGCTCGCTATTTATAACCGCGCAGGGCGCACGCCGTGTGGGGGAGCGTGATGTAATCAGCTTATTTCGGAACCGTTCCCTTTACCCGCATGTTCGTCCATCGCGGGAAAGTACAGTTAAGCTAAAATTACCGAATAACTTCAAATTGTGCGGGTCATGCAGACGAAGAGCCAACGCGGTAATCTGTCGGGCGGATGTGGCGAGCACATGACAGCTCGCTAACGGGAGGCGCGGGTGTTTCATTATTTCTCCATCTTTCTGTTCCGTGCGACTGACTGTCTGCTGTATCATTTTTATAAAACCGCAAGAGTGATCATAGTAATAAAAGAAAAATGTGGTGTTATTGTGACAGTGTTTCAAAACATGGATGTAATAACTCAATCTGTAGGGCTGCTCAGTTCCCAGCGGCGGCGCGCGGCGTCCGTTCCGGTGGTGGACTCTTGCTCATTAACGAGTAAGCAGGTAAAGAAAGCGCAAGGGCCCGGCCACCGGAGATAAGGTCAATAAATGCGCGGCTCCGTGGCTCATAATTAATAAGTGCGCGCGATAACATCTCTTAGGCAATTACCGAAATACAAGGAACAATGCCGGTGTGCAGTGTGTGTAGCATCAGAAACTCATTACACCACACATTCAATTACTAAATGTGCTTTAATAACTACGTGCAGCCCGGCGGACAGCTTGCGGACCCATTCTTACTGTTACTATTTCGTCAGCGTTTAGGGCACCCTGTACTGTTACATACAGTAAGACATTCAAAGACCGTTGCAAAGTAGAATGCGCCTCTATTACGATTTCCTGGAACTCACTGGGTTTACCCAGTAACTAGAGACACGTCGTCAGAAGTGCTGATCAATTAGTATTAATGTACAATTAATCAGCTCGTGTGCGTAACAGCTTCATGACAATGTCCCACGACTTTCGTGTCGTATCTACGAGACTACGCTATAATCGTTGTACGAACGGTACGAGGCTAATAAGTTGTCTGTGAGACTACGAGTCCCGCATATCAACACACGGTAATTAAGTCTGATCATTTTACATTTTTAAACTGTTAATCACGACCACGCATTCGATGTAAATATGACATGATTTTTGAAGCTGTTAAATAATTACTCGCGAGCCTCCTCGTGGGAAACGGTTACGAGGTACCGTTACCTCGGCTGGCTAGTTCACGCTCTGCTGTGCTACGACATTGCTACGAGACTGCTACGAAAATTAAACAATTTGACAGACTATTCCAAGTGCTTGAATATTTAATTTAGTTGACTGTTGGACGTTTGTTTAATTAGCTAAATGTCAATTAATGATTGGTTGAATTATTGTACAGTAAAAAATCTTAATGCTGACTTTCTCTCTATTTTTTAACTAAAACTTCATCGAATTCAGACGGGCGTAGTGATACTACGGTCCTTTGTCTGTATTCTGTCTGTGACGTTGTCACTGTGGTGTTAATGTTCAAACAGAAAGAAGAAGTGCTATTTAAACAACAGTGTATGAAATCTAAACAAATATGTATTACAGAAATATAAAGTCCATCAACTCATAGTGAATACCTAGACATTTTTTCTGTTAAAATAGCAAACAATACAAAATGATTTCACAACACAACACGTTGCAGACACTTCGCATTCTCAATGATTGCGTACTCATTTTTACTGAATTTATTTACACAGAATAGACATTCTTGCGGCAGATCATATGTCGGCCGCGGCGGGGTGTCGCTTACAAAAAATATTTATCGCATTAATAGTCTAATTTTCCGGCGATTGTTTGTTTGATCGTTCATACTTTCATGAAGGAATGTCCAAGCGTAAGCGGTTTTGTAGCTAGCACAGTACAGTAGTACGAGCGCGTGTGAGTGTAGCGCGATGCCGACGTCCGCGTCGCACATGTTTTCACATTTCCAGGCTGGCAGTAGTGTTTCAGGTGTCGGCGGAGGCCACGGCGCGGGCGGCGCGTCTAGCACCTAGATTCCGTGTATTGTTTGGTTGCGCGCGCGCCGGCGGCAGCGGTGGCGCCAAGGCGCGCCGCTCCATGTATTATTCAAGCGGCCACGACCCGCGCCGCCCCCGAATTTTGTTAGCCTCGCGCCCCACAGACGTCTCTAATTACATGCTATCATGACCGACTTTACTGTGTCACGATTATTTCGATTATCGTTAAAGTCAACAACTTGTGGCGACAGAAACTGTTTAATAAACTACCAGCTACCTAGGTTACAGTTACGAGGACATATTTATTTTGAGACATGTGAAACAATTTTTTCTTTGTCGCGCAGTACTACCTGATTTTCAGTTTTTCGTTTTAATTACATGTTTTCCACTATTGTCTAGCTAGATTTTACGGTGCAACAGATGACAGTAGAGTTGTCCTGCTCGTAAGAATGTGTCGGAGAGCGAGGGGCCTCGCGGACTGGGGGGCGGCTAGTCGGGTGTCGGCTCCGATGTCGCGGAATAGTCCATTGTGCGAGCGCGCCGTCCGCGCCGCCCGCGCGCCACCAGCGGGAAACGGGTCAAGGTCTCACTGGCGCCTACCTCACGACACGCTGCTGCCTACCTCACAGCACGCTGTCGACTGCTCACTACTGCGCACTGCGCACTCTACTTACTGTACCACAGTACCACACCTTCACCAGTAGGTACGACATGGAGGTACACTTAAATAAGTCACATCTGTCATTAGACATTTACATCATTTTCATGGTTCTGACATCTAAAAGCTATCTATCTATCTAAAAGCAATCAGTACCGGTACCGGTACCGGTACCGGTAATATATACCTAATATATTATAGCAACAAAGTAACCGGGTGAAGATTTGTGTTTTTGATCTGATTTCTCAAAATTAATGTGTATTGGCCTGTCTGTGTTTAGTCGGCCGACGGAAGTATGTAAACGAGAATATTACAATATAAAATGCTGGCACGTAAACGCGATGGTCCCTGAAAATTTGTTTAAGCACATGTAAACGCGCGCCGAGCGAGATGTGATGCGAGGCTCAGTTTAGGTGTGAAGGTCAATGACCGATAAGGTTGGCGTTACGTCGACCTCTCTTTTCCCCTCACTTCGGCCACTATCGCCAACCGACCTATCAGCAAATATGTTGCCAAATACCTACTGTGCAGGGCGGCCGGTGAGCTCAATACGTCTGTGACCGATGTTGCCAGCTCATAATCCGGGTTCAAACATTCGGTGATTGCGTGATATTTGTTCGGAACTAGCATTGTTCTCAATTTATTATCGTTTGAGAGATATTTTTACGGGATATAGCGGTAGCGTCAGAGGAGTGATGGGTGGGCCGAGGAGCAGTGGCGAGGAGCGGTAATAGTGTTACAGCATCGTCATAAGGGCGCCAGTCTGCAGGGTAATGAGCGCGTTCTCAAAACGGGTAATTGTTTGTATTGTAAATGGGGGTATTTCCCATACGTGTCTACGGTTGATAGTGTTTTGGTGGGCGAGGGGCGATGGGACGGCGCGCGGGCTGGGGAGGTGCGCAGTATCGGCGCGGGCGCAAGGTGCACGTTATCGCGCCATTGTTAGCGCCGACAGATTTATAACTTCCCTTTGCCCTCAATAAGGGCCCGTGACCTGCGCACACCTTACACTCCTAAATAACGCAAATACTTGGAACAATTACTCCAATACTAGTTTCATAGACATCAGCGAGAGACAAGGCAAATTCATTCATTAGCACTTAACGTCCGTTATGATACTAAATATATACCTATACTCGGTGTGGCAAAACCTGTTTTCAGTCGAAAATTCATAAAGCATATATTTCACCTAAATAAAACTAAATTATACATATCATTGGTTAATTTTGGAAGTTTGAATCCGCCTCAGTAAGAAGCTGGTTCATTGAAATTGTCAGTAACCGGTCATTAATGATTTTCTTGGGCAGAATTATTTCACAGATTTAAAATGTGAATGACAAAACTATAGTAGGGATGTTCGACGTACCTGGTATTGTTGGGTCGCCTGTTCCAATCAGGAGAGGATCTCGCACTGTCGCTCTCTGCTCTTTGCGAAGACTATTGATGCAGACATGACGTTCACCACACGGTCACGCACCTGGAAAGATTACAAAACCTAGTTGAAATAAATAAATACACACGCAAAATCAAAATATAATAGTAATCAAACAATTACAGAGCGTAAAATTATTAATTTCTTATTGAAAATACGGATTGAGTTCCCAGCAGTAAATTAGACAATCTGTGAGAAATTCTGCTTGGCGCCATTCCGACTCCACAAATGTGACGGCCAGTCATTAGGGTTTTTGTGCAAGTAAATATATATGTATTGAGTTAATTGTCTTCTATTGCTGATTTATTAACTTTAAAGTTAGTGGGAAACGTGTAAAGGTACAGAACAATAATAATGTTACTATTGGTGTATCATGCACATGCAAACATAATATTTGTACAAAATAAATAATTGTATAAGATGAAACTTTTTCATATATTAACATACTAAATGCTCCAACAGGAAACTCGTAACAATATTACGGTCAACCCCAAGAACGGTCCTCAGTGAACTCGAGCGTAAAGCAAGTTGATCCGCGATACTCGCTCCTGTCATCTTATAAAATAGCTTTGTTTGTTTATCGATACCGTTACAACACACCAGACGACATATTAATAAACCAATGCATTATTTTTAATTTTTTGTTAACTGGTATATCTCGGCCGTTAAATGCAATTTTAAAGTGAGTATCTCGGTTTAATTGGCCATTTTATTTGTATGTTTATTATTGGCAGCCTGAACGGAATATGTTTGCATCGAGTGATGGTGGACGTCACAAACGGTGATATTGATGATGTCATGCGTGAGGGCTGGCGGCGCGCGGCGCTGGTATGCGGTATGCGACGCGCTAGCCGCATAACGGTGCGCGCGCGACGTCTGCGCGCGTTCCCAGGCTCCGCGAGCGCTCGATCGACGCCCCGAGATAAGCCCCATTCTATACGAAACCCAATAAGCCATTTCCTTGAAACTCTCACAGGAGAACCGCTCCCGTGAAAAAAAATGACCAAAACTATACAAAAAAAAGGCCTGTGAATAAGGCAGGAGCGTGAAATAAGAATGGCCTCAGTTCTGGGAAGGCTCGGCGCCGGTGCAGTCTTTACATCCTTTATAATGATCTTTTTTGTGAAGCGACCCTTAATGGCTTATCGTGGGGCTGAGAATGTTGGCACAGTGCGAAGCGGCGTGTACCTTATTAGTTGGCGAGGCGCGGCGATGCGGCCGAGCGGAAATCGACAATCGGTTAGAGATTTAACTGTGGAGATTGTGTGTGACGGAAACGTCGTTGTGTTCAATGGTAGCGGCTGTAGTGAGCATGAATGACGGACTGCTCACAGTTAGAAACGGATTGACCAATTTAGTAACGTGACATTTGCATATTACACTTGGATTCATCCTACACGGTGGCGAGACGTGTGCTGCAATTCGTGTGAATGTTTAATGAACCGCTTTATGAGAGTACATCCAGCAGGCGGTGGATGTGCACGGCCTGAGTGAGTACGTCCTCGGCGGGAGGAAGCGTGACGAAGGAAACGCTTATGAAATGGTCGCCCACGCCGCGTGCGCTGCGCCGGAAGCGGAGGCGCAGCGCACACTCGGCACCGCAGTGTGGCTGAGCCTGCCGGAACAATGTAATCAATGCGCGATAAAATGAGAGCAAAGGTGAGAGGACCGAAGGGCGTCATGTGTGCCGGCTACGTCACAGAGAGATGCTGTGACTCAGCGGGGACGAGGCACACGTGTCGCTGACGTCACATGCACCTGACTCATCACGTACTCATCATCTGGGAAAGACAGTGCTATAGTACACGCGCGAGGCCCACTGCCGCCGCCGCCGCCGGCTACCGCTCAATGGCCGACTTGCATGCTATATCTATTGTAACTAATTCGATACTTAGTTTAAAATCATTTCTTATGAATTGCATTTTCTTCACAATTTGGAATTCACCAGAAAATGAGTATAAAATAAAAATTCAAAGGCTCAATTTAATGTTAACCGGAAAATAGGCGATAGTATAAATTTAACACCAGGAAAATTGTCTTGTAATTATTTCTGTGACTTGGTAGTATAAGGAATTATGTTTAGAGTTACAATTTATTTACTTTATATATTTCAATTCATCATAATATCAGTTGTGAGAAAAATTAACAAAGTTACTGAGCTATCAAACTATAGGTGCAATATGCACAAAGTTTAACTGACACGGGTAGCAATAGCAATTGTCTTAGAAGTTTGTTCAATGTTAGTGATACAATTAGATATAGATAAAATAATGTCAGTGAAAGTTTATATCACTTTAAGAGACAGATAAGAGGCAATTCCACAATGTTGCATTGTCTATTAGTGAATTGTAGTGGAATGCGGAGTTAAGTAAATCGGCTAAACAAGCAGAACGAGGGTAGGGCATAGCAAGTACTGGAGGGCAATGAACAGCCGGGGGTTAAGCAGAACTAGAGGAGAGCAGGGCGAGTGTGCGAGCGGGAGGCAAGAGTAGACGTCATGCTCTGGTGACGTACGTCCTGTCGGCAACGTGCTGCCGTCGCGCGCCTGCGCCCGCGCAGCACACTCCGCTGCACACACTGCTACCCCCATCGCTACCCCCGGCTGTCACATACACAACTCCCTAGTCTTAAGTATTCATCAAAATCTAAATGTTACAATTTGTTACAAAGTCAACAAAAAGTATTAAGTACAAAATAATTATAGTACCGATTTTAAATTTGACTACCCTCATTAGACAAATATGTTATTTGAAAGTTTTTAGAAAAATTGTGAATTTCTAGAAATCGGTGCTTGAATTAAGATTTAGCTAAGATGTTGAGGATGGGCGATGTTAAGGCAATAATAGTTCAAGTACAAGGAATAGAAAAACCAAAAATATATTTCTAATCTTACGCTACTGGGTGTAACATTCCATTGATACAGACGGAAAATCACTATTTAATTCACTATGCACTAAATTTCACAGTTGATTTCGGTGTAGTGATTGAACGGACACTTGTTTCCAACACAACGCACGAAGTCCGGCCTCAACTAGCGGTGTTCACTAAACAACGTGATAATACAAAAAGAAGTCAGAGGTTACGATGTTATCGAGGGAGACATGAATATTCGAAGACGCGAGGGTCACGAGTGAACGGTCGTCGTAGCATCGCGCCGCGGCGTGAATGGAACGACCGACATTTTATGAATCGAGAGCCGTCGCCCATTGAGCTGAGCGCGGCGAGCGGCGAGCATCGACGGTGCGCGCGCGCAGCACCGTCGCCGCAGGGCCCACAGCTCGGGTCCGCACCGGCGCCGGTTCCGGCCCCGGCGGAAGTGACGCTCCAACCGAACATGGCGGCGCGCACGCAGGAAGTGCGCAGCTTACCTATCGGGACGTCTCCGTCGGCGGCGGGCGCAGCCGACACCCGCCGCCGTCCAGCGCTCGAGCAGCGCACGCGAACCCGCATGCGCCGATACCGATATCCGCAAAAGTGCGCGCGATCACTACCTTGCGAATAAATTATTCGTGCTGTTATCTAAAAATATTCGTTTGCGACGCAGAGCGCTCGCAGCCCGCAGCCCGAGCCGACACGGACTTGCACACGCGAACCGCTTCCCCGCTGCGGGGAGACTGATGAGGGCAGGCCGCGCCGGCGCCGGCGGAGGCTCCGACGCATGCGCACACCGCCGTCCGTCCCTTTCCGCGGGCATGCAATCGCTGCGGAGCGAGCGGGACGACGACAACTCATTATCACAGCGCCGACTCGTGAACACCAATAGATCGAGGAGTAGGGACAAAATATTCGACCTTCACTTCACAACGCACACGAGCGCGTGCGCTGATCGCGTCGCGACAGCTCCACACACATGCGCGCTCCTCGCAAATTACTCGCGGCCGCCGCCGCGCCGCCGCCGCGCCGCCGGTGTGCTACATTTGACAATTTTTCCAGAAAACTGACATGCACCGTCACCGTGGACGAGGCGCGCCCGGCTGCCACGTGGCCGCTACTCAGCACTACCACCGACCACCGACCACCGACCACCGTCGGCGACCACTCCACACTACACACTAACTACACCGCATGTTCAATCCACTGCTGATAACGCTTCCAATATCTACCGACAATCAATTTATGTGGAACAATAGATTAAAATCTAATTTCAAAAGTACATTTTCTGAAGAAAATTACTTAGAAAGCTTCACTTTTATATAAGTACATCAAGGTGCTTTTAGTTTTTATCATTTTTATATAAAAAGGCTCATGAGAAAAGTTCTATTCATCACAAAAAATTTCTTCGTCTATTCTATAGGAAAGCTACAAAACTTCAGAATAATGAAAATATCAATTCATTAGTTCAGATAGGAAATATATCACACAATGTTAAAGAAAAATAATTCGAAGAAAATTATTATATGATTTCATTAATCATTAAATATAAGTTAAATGTGTATCTAAGTATTGAAAAAAATGAATAATACTAATACTGTACTATACAGATGTTGAACAACAAAAGATTGAGAGTAGAAATAATTGAATAGAACAAAGTGTAACAAATTTTTGCCAGTCTAGTTTTTTATGAGAAATTGTAAATAATCCATAATTTAAAACTAATTTCAGTTAATGTTTCAGTTTAATTACACATTCATTGTATTTTGTTGTGTAATATTTATTACTTATTTTATATAGGTAGGTATGTACAGTACTTAACACCCATGAAATAAAATTTTAGACTGTGAAAATTAAAAATAAATTTATATATTTTTTTGAAATTTATACATAATAATTTGAAATATTTTAAATTGATTTCAAAATGTAATTGTAATAATTTAAATGAATTGTAAAAGACATATAGAATTTCACAAGTATTTGTAAATTATACAATTGCTTCTTTCTTGACATTTTTTGAATTAGACCTAGGTTATTATTCTCCAAAGTACCTACTACAAAGATAAAATTTTATTATAAAATAAAAATTGGAAAAGTATAAATTATATATTATCCATTAATTATAAAAAATGAATGACTTTGTCTCTATTGCAATTTTTAAATTGCAATTCTGACTTCTGTGTATTTGTAAAAAAATAATTATTATTATTATTAAAAAATAATAATCAATTACTTTTCCGAATATAACCAGAATATTTTTTTAAACAATTTATATTAATATTTATACATATATAACATTCTACATACATAGAAACAATGGATGCAAAATTCAAGAGAGATTTGCCGTATAAAAAATTAAGCAAAAAATATTTTAATACTTTTTTACTTGATTAATTTTCTTAAATGGTTATATTATCGGAATCAACTTATTTTAAGTTATTAAATTTATTGGATAATGGTGAAATACACAAAAATAGGTTTTATTGCAGTGGGCTAAAAGGCGGCTCACTAGGGCAAAATAAAATGGTGTTATTTCACAAAAAATACATGAAATTGTTAAGTTTTTTGATAATTTCTAATAGGCGCTGAGTTATAGTGCGGGTAGACAGGGAAGAAGTACGCAGGAAGTGCGTGCCAGTGTTGCCACACGCAGCCGTAACCATGCGCAAGCGCTGGGGAGCCGCGAGCAAAATTTCGCGCTATTCCTCTTCTAACTTAAATTTTATATTTATTTTTTAAATAATTATATTCTAATATGATTCAGCAAATAATCAACAATGTCCTCCGTATATTTTTAACATTTTGAAAAGCTTTTAATTTTTTTTAAGTCTATTTTCAAGGAAAATAATAAGTTTTATATAAAGTAGGTATTTCTTTATTTCTGTATAAAATAAAGAAAATTTTAAAACCGCTTATTTTATAAAAAATAGAAAAAGAAACATTGTAATTATAGTTATAGCTGTAAAAAAACGAAATAGGTACAATATCAATGAAAAACCGTTTGTGGAAACAAAAATAATCTTCTCTAGATTAGGTTTTTATCATAAATGATGCATTAGGCATAGTTTCAGTAGATATAATTATTACAATACCTATATATTTACTTGAACAACTTTATAACTATATAAAAGTCAAAAAATAATTTAAATTACTTTATACGTTAACTGTTTTATGTCGGGTTCTATTATAGAATATACATATATTTAGAAAAATAAAAAATACCTATACTTAATGCTGTCTATAGGACATAGAATGATTTTTGATGTGTATGTGTGTGTGTTGGAGTTGTGTATGTGTGTAAATCGCGTTGGAATCCGGTATCGTTATCAGCACGTAGGGCTGAGCCTATCTAATCTTGCAACCACTTTAGCTCTTAGATAAAATTCACTTCTTTTCAAACATATTTCAACAATTTACTTCACACGTTGGCGCCAATCATTCATGATTCCTATTTTTGAGAAAAAAGCAAACAAAATCTTATTTTTTAATTAAACATTTTTATTCTAAAATATTTTTTTTAATAGTTTCATAATTATTTGTTAGTGTAATTAGTCCCTGAACAAGTAAATAACAGTTTTAATTGAATATAAGTGGCTAATATTTCTTTGAATTAAACAAACGTACTGAAGAAAATGTTAAACGCATTTAAAATAAAAAGGTTATAAAGGAGAATTTATGAAAGATTTTTTACATTATGAGTTACTTATTTATAAATGCCCTCAAGTTTTGAACGAAAATAAATCTGTAGTAAAACAACTAAAATCCTAGATTTTTCTTCCTACTGGCAAATGCATTGATATAAAACCTTTATAAATGAAAAACAAACGATTTCGGTCATGTTTTGTTTAAAATTTTCATAGAAAATTCAGTGTCATGAGTAAAGTTACTTGAGCAAACTTAAACTGTGAAATACTAAAGAGATTGGCGATTAATAAGACAATAAAATATAATTAAATTAATTACCGCCAAAAATATTTTCCATTTAGATAAATTATACCAAAGTTTCAGTACAATAGCAACCCTTTAAGCAATTTCTTCAATCCCCTTTAATATACATGTACAGAGAGTTGAAAAATAGGTAAATATAAAGAAATATAACTTAACAGCTAAAATGAAATTAAAATGTTAAAACATATATTAATTACTTGTCGGTTATTTTTAAGTTTATTTAAATTATAAATGTGAATTTGGTACATTTTTGCAATAAATTGGCAACACTATAGCGGGTAAGAACCTGATTTACATTTCTGCATTGCCTAGCAAATTTATGTAGGTAGTTTATCAAAGCAAAGTAATATGGCATTGCTACTTAAAATAGTGTATATTACGTAAAATAGGGTATATTTTTATATTATTATTACCATTTAATTTAGTCCATTAAAAGATGTAAAAAATGGAGAAGGAAACCTTTAAGCATTATCAAATTTAATTTCAATTAAATATCATTCTCATTATTTATTTTTAAAGAAAAATAAATCGGACTAATTATTTCTCTTTGGAATTCTAATCAATGCGTGTAGGTAATTCAATCAATGAAAGGAATTTGGGCACTTTAATATAGGAATTAATAAAATAAAGAAAACTCAAACATTTTACCTACAGGAATGGGAAATATTGTCTACAAAAATATTGGTCATCTGCTTAATAGGTATATTATTAAATCATAAAAAAGCCAACTTACCTTTTCATAAGGAACACATTTCAAAAAGTCACATTTCACATTTAGGCCAGAAACATTTTACATTTTTAAAATCGAGACAAATGTTTTCTGCATCAATTTCACAAATAAATCACAACACTATAAGTTTCAGTATGTCCGAAAAAATAATGCACATTTGAAAAATCCCACAATTATTCATAAAAAGTATAAAAATAACACAAACGTATTGAAAGTTTTAATTGTTTCAAGTATTATGGAAGAGTCACATGGCACAACAACCTCCGTGAGCTGTTGTTAAACAATTAGAAGTCCGGTACTCCGGCACAACACATCAGCCCCGCCAGCGAGCGCCAGCTTCCACCCTCCTGTCTTGTCACAGCAGTCGCGCACTAGGACAATGGCATATCGAGCTTGTTTAAGGTTCGCCTGATTGCATGACTTATAAGAATTGATTTGAATATGATCCGGGCTAGTCAGCTGCATGGCCGGCGGGAGCAGTGTCGCGGCGCAGCGGAGGGCAGCCGGCGCGGGCGGCGGTGAGCTGCACTCGTCTTCTCTCAGGCGTGACGTCCGGCCGGGGTCAGCGAACGCAGGGCCGCCGATAGCTTTCTTGTGCCCGACAAACGACCCTCCGAGATGTCACTCACGTGTTTTCTGTCGCCCCTTCCCGTGCGACCACTTCCCAACGACTATTCGTCCCGTCCTCGCCACCGCCACCGCGCGCCCTTTGATGCCTCGCATTGCTTTCTAATGAACTCACGAAAGAGGAAGTATTCGAAACATCGGTCGTCATATTGTGAAGCACCACTTTATATTTGTACACAAACAC